TTGGATTGGCAATCCTTGTAATTGTGGCTCTCAATTTCTTATTCTTTTCTAATTTTTTTAGGTCCTATTTGTGTGTTATTCAGTGACAGGAGAAAGGTGGGGTGGTGTTTCAAAGGGGATTGGACTTTTTACGATTAGACACCTGGTTGTTGCTCATAGTCTGAAACTCTGTAATGACTGATGGGATATATATATATATCTATATATATTTGGAAGAAAAAGAAGAATATATATCCATATATATATATATATATGTAGAAAGAGATCAAGGGAGGAACACCATTTACATCATTAGAAGAAACAAAGATTACACAAGGGAATCATCAAATATCTAAGATATCCCTAGGTCTTCACTTTTAAGGAGGGGTGATCTTCTGTTGCCTCCTGTGTTTAGGGTCAGTTTATGAGTTGAGATATGTGGAATTTAGAGTTTATTGCTTGTTAAGGAGAACCTATTGATCTCTCTTTATTTTATTCATGCAGTCGGCAGTTGCATATTTATAGGAAAGCTCTAGAATAAGGTTTTTGATTTAAACAGACATAATAACAGTTTCCTATTTTATTCCAAATGTCTATCCTAAATACAATCTTTTTTCTAGTTAAGCTTAAACTGAAAAAACATATGGGTCAAGGCACGGAGAAGTCTCAGACAAGCTTGATGCCTATTTCTGAGTACTAATGAAATAGAATTAACCCTTAAACATTCTCTTGTTTCTCTCCTTCCAATGGTTTAAAAGATGGCATGGGGAACGAGAGAGCAATTAGCTTCTTCTTGGTCTTATGACAGCAAATTCAATCCCAGTCAAGCAGTTTTGCCTGAATGGATCCACTCTAGCACGCACTAGATACTCAACAAGTTACAAGCTGATTCCTATAGCCTTCTCCTGTCAGGATACCATCAAAGAAGATGGTTAGGAGCTTCAATATTGACATGCAAAGAGGGCATATGTTAGGATGATACAGTCCCATCTCTTAAGGCTGTTCATATTAAAAGATTTGGCTCCAAGAGGCTTCCCGAACAAGAAAAAGTCACATTTCCAGCAAGGGAAACTAGTCAAACTAGAATCAAGTTTTGGCAAGGGTGGTTACCAGATTTACTTGTGGAGGAAACATCTTTTGACAACTTTGGAATGGATTATCATCAGTACCTAGAAAAACTGAGTGTCCAAAAAAGCAAGTAGATCGACTAACTTGTCAATCTCCTAGTCATTGAGATTGCAAGATAAATTTATGTGCCTGGAGGCTCCCAGAGAGCGAATTATAGTACCCAACTCTGTTATTTTCACGAGATGCAATGCCCCTAGATAGTAGGATAGTGGAACTTCAGTTGTTCATCGCACCAAACATCCTCACAGAAATTCACCATATCCTTGTCACCAGCATTAAATGAGGATGCCCAGTTAAGTTTGGTAAAAGCCACTTGATCTCCTCCCATAAACTTGATCTGTAAGCGCCTCTGCCCATCTTTGACATCCAGCCACCTCCATGTGCCCATTTCTTGCTTAAATCAAATTCCACCATAAACCCCCTCTATTAGAGAGAAACCTCAACAGCCATTTTGCTCAAAGGGCCTCGTTGGATAAGTATAGGTACCTTGTACGTAGCCCTCATGCTGAAATGAGAGTCTAATGGAGTTCCAGACCAGCAAATCGAATTTCTTGTTATCATCTGAGTGGGAGTGATAGGAATAATTTGCTTTGACAAACAAATTTTTGAACAGCCATGCTGTGACATTAAGGCTTATATTTTGGTTGCATATGCTTGGACTTGCGTCTGTAAGGTTTATATTTTGACCTCCACTGTCCTGTGCTTCGCATGGAATGATGCACTAGTAGTTTGGCGGTAAAGCAAAATTTATGTAAAAGACTGGAGAATATACAGAACCCTCTTAAAGGAGAGCCAGCCTATTCGGATTTGCATGGCTAAGTCAAGATTTGCTAGAAAACTGGGCAAAATCTCAACTTCTTTACTGAAATCCACTGAATAGGGTAGTATAAATATACAGAAGAATTGAGCTGAAAAATAAACATTTAAAACTTCTTTGGAAGGTTCACTATCATAAAACCCAGATGGAACCTAAAAGTACATTTTCGAATGCATGGACTAACATAAACATGGCAAGGGTTACATGGGAAAAGAATCATCCTTGAAACAGTATTTTAATGTAGTTAGTGGGACAGTGGAATTTGAATGTTTTTTGATTCTCAGTCTGAAGTCTTAGAAATATTCCTTCTTCTAGAAGAATCCATATGAACTGAAGTACAGTTCCCGGAAGATGGACTAATGCAAGCATGGCAAGGATTACAAGGAGTGGAATCATTCCCAAAACTAGGTCTTTTAATGTAGTTATGTGAAGGTTATATATGAACTTTTGATCTCAGAATCAGTAAGTCTTTTTCTGTGTCAGCACACAAGATAGGCTTTTAGTAGTAGAACCTTATTATAATTAGTTTTCCATGCAGCACCCGTGTGTTCACCTGTTAATTTAGAAACCTGTGCTTGCTTACGGTCATTTTGCGTTTCTATTTATGTAGAAGTTTAGAGTGTCTCCAAAACGCCCATCCATTTGTTTCAATATTCTGTACTGGATTTATTATTTCTTTTCTCCACGGAAGCATATTTTCCTTTTCTTATATTTAGATGTATTTAGATTTTGTCAGTGTATACAGGTGATTCTGGGGCTGGTTATGTGCCCAAGCAAACAGAAGAGGACAAAGAAGTGGAGATGCTTGAACCCTCAGGTGATCCTATGTTAATGTGATGTGACAAAATAGGGAATTCCTTAAAAGTGGATTTCGCATATTTGTTTTATGTTAGTATTCCCCTGAGATCTTCATTTCTTGTGAGTCGGGTGCCTGCAACACAAGGAGCCGCTAATGCAAGTGTACAGCATGTAAGAAAACTTTCTAAAAGCCTGTGTGGGTTAAGTGATAAGGGAAGTGAGCCTGTTTTTTCTTTCTCTAGCCGAAAGGCCTTTGTGTATTAGGAGGTAGAGGAAAGCTTCAGAAAATTGTCCTGGCTGCCCAGGTTGGCCGTGGTAATTTTGCCTTCTCTAGTGGCAGTATCTGGATAAACTTAAATATGTAGTTAAAGTAGTGAACCTGTAACTATTTTTGAGGAATACTTCCCTCGTGTGTAAGAAATTATGGCGGTCAATAGCCCTCAAATCAGAAATTAGCTACCAAAGATTTCGAAGTAGTTTTTGTTAGAAATTCTTTTGAAGTTTTTACAAATGATTTGTTAAATTATGATGCTTTGCCTTGTCATACTTGTCTGGTTCCTACATCACCATTTTTGGCGACTATACAGTATTGTATGTAGGGTGGTGTTTCTCTTCATATGTGTATTGGAGTTGGGAGCCTTGGAGGGTGGTCTTCTCCAATACCACTTTTGGCATTGATATATTTAAAATCTAGGATAAATTAAAGATTACTTATTCAAATACATTAAAGATCTAGCCAATTACGTATTGTCACTTTTTATTATTTTAATACATAAGCATTTTCTATCAGATATATAATTTGAGTATATAAATAAATTTTAAGTAATAATATAATTAATGAATAAATCATATTATATTTAAAAGAGAGAGTGAAGAAAATTAAGTGCTATACTAATTATTGAAATAAAAAAAATAACGTATTTAATATGTTTATTATCTAAATATTTAAATGAATATATATAGTAATTTATTAAGTATATATTAAATATAATTATTGTGATTTATTATCCAAATAAATCACCTAGTATCACTTTTACCAAAACATCTATGCGTTTTTTTTATAATGTTAAATATTTATATAAATACTTGTTATTTTATTAAGTATATTTTGTTTATGAATCTATATGCTAAAATTAAATAATTAGATTTAATAAATCCTTCAATACATTATATAGTTAATAAATAATTACTTCAATATATTTAAATTAAAATAATCAATAAACAATTATATAGATAAATTTAGATATAACTAACAATCACTTAATGACACTTGCCATCATTTAATGCAGGACCATCTTTTGTTACAATATAAATAGATAAATACAATTTATCATATTTATAGAATATAATAGTACATATTTAAATAAGGAGAAGCTGCTAAAGTTGAAGAGATCATGTCTTGCCATGGTAGATGACACAAGACTAGAATTGATTCTTTCCATAATAAGTTAAGATAGGTTATCTTAGTAGTATAAACTATTCTCATATGGTTTTGCATTATTCATGCAATTTAGATTTCATTATTTTCTTGGTGGAATGGAATTGAAACATTTATTTCTCTAAACTCTGATTTCACTCCCTTCCTTCAATCTTTTCCTTCCATTTTTCCACTTTTTCCCTCTCTTTTTCCCTTACCTTTCTCTTTTCTCTCTCTCCCCCCCCCCAAATCTCTTCTCTTTCTATATTAAAGTAGAAAGGCATGCCAGGCCTGGCCACTCTAACAAGATTCCCAAGAGGAGGATAACATAATTTTAACATGACTTCCATAACCAGATATTATGTAATTGACACGGTCATTTGAATCAAAATGCGCATGAATCGCGGGGAAACAAATCCAGGTGAAAGATAGACTTTCTACTGAAGGATTCTGACAAGGAAGTTTTCTCGTGATTCATATTCACCAACTCATGGTAACAGAAAAAATACACTAGCATTCACTGCAGTAGGTTTCCCATTCTAATCAGGCCATTGCTTTCGAGACACCAATCCTACCAAACATCTCCAGGGGAGAGGAATGCAAGTCCAATCAAGAATAGAAGATGGGAAGTACCATTCAGTAATCATGACATTTCAAGTAACACAAATTACAAGTCCCAATTAAGAATAAAAGATGGGGAGTATCATTCAGTAATCATGATGTTTGAAGTAACACAAATTACAAGTAGTTGCTTTACTCTGAGATTTTCTTCTAATAGAAAAAGAAGTACTACTCTGGGACTGTGGATAGCAGCTCTAAAATAGTTGAGGGTCCTATAAACATGAACCAGCTGTCCATATCCAAGTAGTTACCTTCCTCACCAAAGTCTCAAGACTCTCATATGCTATACTGTGGTCAGGAAAAAGTAACTTTTCTACCAAGTTCCAAATTCAACACAGTGCATACCCTGCAAACAATAGTAAGAAAGTTCAGGGAATTAAAAATTCTAATTTGATCTTAAATATTACAAGAGGTATTACTCCATAGATATCGTGCATTTTAAATTCAAAACTCCACCCTATGAAGTTTCAGCAATCCATGATAAGAAAGTTCAGTAAGTACCAGGTCTGGGAGTTCATGTCACATTTAATCAGAGGTATCAACGAACATACATTTGACATGAAGCTTTAATTGAAGAGTATAGCTCCATGGGGGCATTAGAGCCAATGTCATATTGCAGCCAACCCATCTTCTAGGGTTCTCATGTCATTCATTTCATAACTTCTAAGTCAAAAACAAGGGCACCAGATTACTTTCAAATCTTCTTATTTCCGTCTTAAGCTCATACTCTTTCGCTTCTCATTCAACGAAAAACGTCTTGCTATGGTGGGATTATAAAACTTCCTCATATGATCAGAGAGCCTATGAATGGCTTGGAGATCACCGATAACAGAAAGCTGCATCAAAAAGGAATCAAACATTTGGTAGGGCAATTTCAATCCCTTCTTCACAACATCTTCCAAAAGAAAGCATGCATCTTCCACCCTGTGGCAGCTAAAGAGCCCATTAATCATCACACAGTAGGTATTGGTGTCTGGTGTGCAGCCTCTCTTGTCCATTTCATGCCAGCTTTCAAAAGCCCTATTGGGATCACCCATCTTGAAAAACATTGAGATTAGCGTATTATAGGTTTGAACACTAGGTATACAGCCAACCTCAATTATTCTTCCATAGAGCTTAAGTGCCTCATCAGTCTTCTTATTGTCACAGAGAACCTTGAGAAAACAATTATAAGTAACTATATCAGCCGGATAACCTTTGTTGCTCATCTCTTCTAAGAACTTGTATGCTTCCTCAACCTTTCCAGCTAAGCACATTCCCTCAATCAATTCCTTGTATGTTGAAACATCAGGAAGACAACCACTCTGTACCATTTCCCCCATTACTTTACAGCATTCCTCCATTCTATCACTCTTGGCTAAAGCCACAATCATGATTGAAAAAGTCTTTGCAGTAGGAGAGGACATCATTGAGCCTTTGTTTCTCATGAAGTCAAAAAGTTGAGTTGCCTCAGTCACCATCCCGGATTTGCAGAAAGTATCGATGGCAGTATTATATGTAAAATTATCAGGGGAATGGCCCATTTGAATCATTTCTTCAAGTAACATCATTCCTCTTCTAGGATTCCTAACTCTACACCACCCAAAATACAATATATTATATGTATCAGCATTGGACTTAACCTTATTTTTCATCCTATTAAACATTGCTTCGGCATCCTCAACCAGACTACATTTGCACAAAGCATCCAACAGAAAATTAAATGCATTAATCTCTGGCTGCGTCTTCACCCTTATTCTTTTCTTCTTTGCAAATTTCTGAACATGGGTCAAATATTTGTCACAGTATTTTCTCAAAATGGATAACAAAACATCAGCAGGAACAACGCTCTTATTATTTCTCTTCATGTAATCAAGCATGTCACATACTATTCTAAACTGCTTCACCTTGTATTTTGTGCTAGACAATATGTCAATCATATTGTTATAAACACAAGGCTCGTGGGAGTAATTTTCCTGGTGCCCCGCCCAGGTGAAAAACCTAAATGCTATTTTCTCCTCCAAGTAAAACCTTTGCAGGACTCCAAGGACCATAGGAGTGGTTATTTCAACCCCAATTTCATCAAGTGCCGCATCCATATTATCATATGCATTACAATTAGCTATAATCGTTTCATAAACTTTGGCCACATGACTGTCTAAACTCTTGCCCCTAATATTACCATCAAGGTTTCGATCTAAAGACACAGTTTCCGAAACAAATGAACGCACGGGGACCCTAAACGCTACAAAAGATTTAAAATTCAATGAAGATTCGGCTAAATACGCATATGGTGTCGCCAGCAGTGATATGATTCGATAGAATGAACACTGACAGACCACCATGTTTGAAGGATACCATATGGGTTCAATAGACGACCTTAAGGGTCGATAAAAGGAGAGATATACACGGGGGAAATTAGTGGCAGATGGAAAACTAAATAGTCTTCTCATTGTAGCGGGTTGAATTGGATAAAACATATCATTGTTAAGATTTCGCCCAATAAAATTAAACTTATCGAGAAAAGGAGAAAGGAAACGAAGAGGGTTTATTACTGTTGTTGCTGCAAAGAAAGGAACTGAAGATGGCTTGATCCTCAACTCTCACTCGTAAGAGGATCAAGTGTCTTGAAATGGAGAAGAATACTCACTACAGAGTAGCCAATATGACACACAGAGACAGAAGAGCCGTCTTCGGGCGGGCGTGAGGAACCGAGGACTTCTGGCGTTGATCATCATGCTATCAGGGCCCAGGTTTGGACCATGGCAGATCCCTCAAGTCAAGCCTAGCCCGACCATGTATAGATTCCCTTGTGCTTTGCTTCCCTATTTGAAAATTTTGATTTCTATTGCTCGATCAGAAGGGGAATATGATCACAAGGGATTATTTGAAGTTTTTGAATAAAATTAATATCTTTCAAGTTCATGTCCAATTTAAATTAAGAGTTCAAATAGTAAAATAGCTTCATTAACTATATATATTTTTTGTTTAATTTCTTTAACTTTTTTTTTGGTTCTACACAAGTTCCTATACATTTAAAAAAATTTTAAATAAAGACTTATAATTAATAAAAGTTAACTGATATTTAGTTAATGAAACATGTTCATGTCACATCTCGTTGATTGGACATTTGATGATGATGTGAAAATTTGGTTTACACGTCATTATGGTTCATTGTTTCCTAACCTCATATTAAAAATATATTCGACTAAGAAGAGAAGCTTGAGGAGAGAGAGAGAACCACGAGCATATAGAAAGACACTTACCATAGAAACAAGCTGGAGGATGCTTGAAGAAAGAAAGATACAATCGAGGGTTGATTTTGTAATCAAATAAAGTCTAAATCCAATACTTTGACAAACATTGAAATTATGTTTGGAGATGATGATGTTTAATAAGGTTATTGAATGAGGACCAAATAGCCACACTCTTGTTATTAAGGAGGGTGAGGTTGCTAGAGGATCTAATTGGAAGAAGATAGATGACTCCACTAGGGTCAACCTCTCTGATTGACCAAATAGGGACTCCACCAGCATAGGTGATGGCAATGAGGAAAGTTGGAAGAAAGGTGGCGTGGATGACGAGAAGGAATGAGAAAGAGAATGAGGAATCAGGAGAAGATAGAGACTAGTTTTCATTATAGGCAAAGAAAAAAAAACCTAGAGTCATGATTGGGGAGAAAGAGGAGGTGAAATAAAGGAAAGGTCTAACGAGAAAGAATAAGAGAAACTGAGATTGCATAGTCATGGTTGTAAAGGTCTCTTGTTATGGTAACTTTGGTGTGAAAGGAGTTGGGTGAAATTGCATAGTTATTAACTTAAAAAAAGAATTGTGGCTAGTTGTAATTGTTTTAACGATGCTGTAAAAAAAAAATTACGTTATCAATAGTTAACACAATGTAATTTGAACACATAATATTAACTAACATAAGTTAACTTCTTTTAACTTTTTATCTATACATCTATCTTTTACCTTTCATTTTCTCTCTCTCTTTTTCTCTCCCTCTTTTTTGTTTATTTTCTAAGAAAATTTGAGATTATTTAACTAGAAACCAGTCAAACGCCAAAAATAGTAAAAAGAAAAATGAGAGAAGATATGATAATACACTTCCAAACTATCTGTTTAAAGGCCTGGAACTTAAAAAAAATAAATTCATAAATTAAATGTAGAAACAATTAATAGTGTTAGAGTTTATATTCCTTATACAATAATTTTGAATGCTCAATAGGGTTACAAGAATGTTCATTCTAACAAATAAACGAAAATTAAAGAAATAAAACGAAAAGTGAATAACTAAGTATCCTATAACAACCTTCACTAACACCTAAATGGAGTCTGACTAGTGAACTACTCACAACCCTCTTGTTGATCGGAATCTGAATCTTGTTCTTTTTTATCTGAAATAGTTAATGAAAGGATAAGCTACACTAACCTAGTAAGAATATCACACTAATCACAGATATGAAAAACTAAATATTGGTAAAAAAATCAAAAAACAACTAATGGAGTTCTTACTTTATTTAAATACATTTATGTAATACCTGAAATTAATTTAAAATATTTAAAATTAATGTATAAAATATAATTTTAAAATTATAAATTTTTATTTAATGTAAAAATTAAGAAAAATAAATGGAGGATGAAATGAAAACAAATTTGGGAAAAAGTGGTAAAAATTTAGATTTTGTGGGTGTTTTTAAAAGAAAAATTAGAAACTGTGGATTAAAACACAATTTAGAAAAAATGTACCACGTAGGACCACCAAGTAAGCAGCCCCAACGAACCGGAGTGCGCCGCATGACAAGGCACGTTGACACAGTGCCACACGGGAGGCCACGCTGACAATCCGCGTGCCCACGATCGGACGGTCTGGATTTGTTCCTACGCACGTGGACGATCCGGATTCGTTCTGTAACACCCAACATTTCATTTTTTTATTAGTTATTATTATTATTTTTATATAAATATAATTATTATTTATATAATTTTAATTTGATTTAATGAAAACAATAATAATAATAATAATAATAATAAAAAGGGTAAAAATTGGTTAGAAATTTAATTGAAAACAATTTTGGAGAAAATAGGTGAAAATTTGGGTTTTAGGAGTATTTTTGAAAGGAAAATCAGAAATCGGGGGTCAAAATACAATTTAGAAAAGTTATGCCATGTCAGCTGTCCGGTCAGCAGCCCCGACCAACCAGGACATGCTAGGTGACAGAGACACTAACGCGGGAGGCCACGCAGGGGGGAGCCACGTGGGCGATCCGCGCGCCCACAATCGAACGGCAAAGATCCGTTTCCGCGCGCACGGACGACCCAGATTAAAAACACGCATGGATGGCCCAGATTGCATCGCGCACGGATGGTCTAGATTGAATCGCGCACAGACGGCCCAGATTGAATCGCGATGAACGACCTAGATTCACTCTTTATTTAATCGCGATCAAACGGTACAGATTAAAAGCGATGGACAGCCCATATAAAAAACGAATGGGTATAAATAACCCCATCCGCACTCAAACCCAAACCCTAGCCGCCAGAGCCCCTCGCCAGAAAAGACAGCCCAGCCGCTGGGGAGCCGACCGTCGCCACCCGCTGCCGTACCAAAGCAATTTTCGACCGCTAAACGAGGTAAAATTTTTTCCTCTTGCACGAAATTCAATTTAAAACCCACTCATGGCCAAATCGGAGTTAAAGAACCGACCGATTGGCCGAAAAATGCCGCCGAAGCTCGGCGTCGTCGCCACGAGGTGTTTCGAAAAAAGTCTCCAATGAGGCACTTCCCGATTCCCGTTCGATGTGATTTTTCTACCGTTGTGACCACCGTTTCTTTATCTACAGGTTGACCGAAGCAAAATACCCAACCGCAATGTGAGCCAGAGGAGTCACCGCACCGGAGAGCCCCACCGCCGGTGAATTTTGATTTTCTGTGTTGTTTCGGCCCATCGAGGGCCCTAAGCATATTTTCTCGCAAGAACCGGTGCAAGTTCAGCTGAATTCGTCCGAAAACAGCCAACCTGAGGCGGATCGCCGCTGCTCACAGCGGTGCCGTCGCCAGAGCAAGGCGGAGCCGCCGTGCCAGAATTTCGAAATTGGCCGGGTAGGCCTTGGGTCTGATTTTTGGGTTATTTGGTACACTTGTAGGTACCGTAAGCGCGTTTCAGTTCCCGAAAGAAAATTTAGGGAACCCACAGACCGCCCGTAGCTGCAGTAACCATTTAATTTTTAGCGTCGAATCAAGTAAGGACCCCTCACCCTATTTCCTATCATAGAATTGAAGTTTGAATAAACGATAATATTGTATTTTATACAAATTAAATATGATTTCTAATAGAGCCCGAACCGGACATTATTCTATGTCGATTCCTGTTTGATTTATTTTACAGTTTAGATGCATTATGGTATCTGGTTTATCTATTCTATAGTTTTAAACGTATGTATCACTGCTTACTTCACTACCGTTTGATTTTGGGAATCTAATATATGATTACATTGTTATATGCACGTTACTTGTTTATGTATTTATGTTTAATTGGTGACGGAGACTAAGGACAAATAGGAATGGGATGTGATCTGATAAATGGATAAGATGACAGCCTCACTAGATATCTTGGGAGATGCGGACGGACCGGATTCATAGGGAACCTTATCGTGAACGTTGTCTCATACTGGACGGGGTATGGAGACTTGGTCATTTGACGCTCATACCAGACGGGGTATTGAGGTTTAATGTCTTGGTTCTCATACCGGACGGGGTATGGAGACGGTCATAGAATTAAGATTGTTAATGGAAAGGGTTCACGTGTAGCGGGGACACCCCTATGGATCTCCATGGATACTAGTAGGCTGGTGAAATGAAAAATGGTAATGATTTGTTATTGTTAATGAATATGAATTTATGATATGTTCTATGTTACTGATTGTGCATGAAGTTATAATATGTACGATGTTATTGTCTTTATAGGTTGTTTTCGCAGGTTCTCTAAGGGTAAAAAAAATGAAAAATGGTTTTAATTTTAATGAATGTATTGGTTTAAAATTTGTGCTCCATTGGTTGTTTTTGGTTTTCTACCAACCTTTACTTCTATGACGGTGATATATTGTGATATCCTTACTGAACTAGTGTAGCTCACCCTTTATTTAACCATTTCAGATCAGGAGGACCCAATTTCCGAGCCCGATCTGCAAGAAGGCTACAAGTAGATGCTAGATACTTTATAGTTTCCTTTATTTTTTCTATTTTTCGTATTTCTTTCAGAGAATTTATTTCGTGATGTTTGTTAGTACTTTTGAGTTATCGTGTAATGGATGTTAACCTTAACATTTATTTCGTTTCCGGACTCAAATTATTATAAGAATTTCTTTTTAAATTTATGGAGTCGTTACAGTTGGTATCTGAGCCGTGTTCCTCGGACCCGTCCCTTACACAATAATACTTAGAGAAACACCAAACAATGAATTATCACTCAACCATTCCTTGTGAAATGCAGATACAGAGAGATGAGAAGAGGAAGACCCCCACTAAATCAAGCAGCCCGGGAGGGTTCGCTCAAAGAAGACGTGGACAGGATATTTGAGATGTTAGAAAGACTTATTGCGGCCCAACAGGGCTGAGAGGAGAGGAGAGAGCTACCTGACCCTCCTCTGCTGTCACAGGTTGAGCCACCACTGCAGCAAGAGGATCCTGAGTCACCCCGGTACGACCTGCTTCTCCACAGTACCACCCGGTACCATCGCCACAGTATAATTCGGTACCTTTTGCCATATGAACAAGTACCACCACAGGGCCCCCCAGTCTACCATCAGTTTAGCCCAGTCCCTTTTCGATGAGCCCCAATTCCTACCATGATTGACCCAGTCTACATAGAGAAGTACAAGAGACTAAACTC